ATCAACCGACTCCATATATAAGTTCTTAACTGATGTCCATACAATTTTTGCTAAAAATGATTTTGGAATTCCAAATCACAAAAAAATCTCATGATTATAGCACACGAATTTCAGAAAAATATGTGTTTACCTGCTCTTGGGATCGTTTGATCTTTAAAATGGGTCGTTTTGGCCATGGTGACCAACCGAATCCATAGATAAGGTTTTAACGGACATCCATGTATTTCAAGTTGTGTATTTTAATGCATGTGTATTATTATGCATGTTAGTTTTAATGCACCAAATCAAATAATTAATTAGAAATAATAAAAGCAAATGTAACAATCCATAATTTTTTTGCATATTGTGAAGTGGTTGTGTATTTGGATTAAAGGAGAGCTTTTTAATTAATGACTTATATGACTTTTCTTTAGTGAAAAGGTATGTTTGATCTTGAAAATGCGCCCCCTTTCTCCGTAGGATAAACTAGATACATTGCCAATGTTTTAATGTATTTTCACGGAAAGTTTTGGTTGTTTTCCTTCGAAAATTTTGGATCACAAAAGTTCCATGGATTATAACACACCAAAGTCAGGAAAATCTGTGTTTACCTGTTCTGGGGCTCGTTTAAACTTGAAAATTCGCTTTTTCCCTATAGGATGAATCGGATACATTGCCAACATCTTAATGGACGTCAATAATTTTTCTTCATTTCATTTCGGGAATTTCGAATCACAAAAATTCCATGGACCATAGTACATTCATATCATTTAAATATGCATCTACCTACATTAGACTTGTTTGAACTTGAAAATGCACTCGTTTTCCCCGCGAGACAAATTATATACATTGTCAACGTCTTCACAAACATATATGAAAAATTTCAGCCATTTCGTTTCAAGAATTCTAAATCACAAAAATTGCATGGAGTATAGTCAGAAAATATGTGTTTACCTGCTTTGAGATTCGTTTGAACATGAAAATTCGCTCGTTTTCCTCGCGGGACGAACTGGATACATTGCCAACGTATTAACGGTTGTTCACTAAAAATTTTGACCATTTTGTTTTTGGAATTGTGAATCACAAAAATTTCATTGACTATATCACACGAAATTGGAATGATCTATGTTTATCTACTTTGGGGCTCATTTGAACTCTAAAATTCACTTGTTTTGGAGCTTGTTTGAACTTGAAAAATGAGTCTGTTTTCCATGTAGAACGAACTGGATACATTGACAATATCTTAACAGGCGTCTATGAAAAATTTTGGCCATTTTATTTCTCGAATTTCGGACCATAAAAATGCTATTGACTATAACACATGAAAATTGGAAAAAATTGCGTTTGCCTGCGTTGGAGCTTATTTGAACTTGAAAATCTGCCAATTTTTCACTCGGGATATACCAGATACATTGCCAACGTCTTAAGGACGTCCCCAAAAATTTTTGGTCATTTATTTTGAGAATTCTGGATCACGAAATTTTAATGCACTATAATACACGAAAATCGATAAAATCTGTGTTTACTTGCTTTGGGCTCATGGACTAGCACACAAAAATTGGAAAAATTACATTTTTTTACCTGCTTTGTGGCTCGTTTGAACTTGAAAATGTGCCCGTTTTCCCGTGGGACAAACTGAATACTTTGTCAATGTCTTAACGGACATTCACAAAAAAATTCGTCCATTTTGTTGAAAATTCAAGATCACAAAAATTCCATGGTCTGTAACACACAAAAATTGGTCAAATATGTGTTTTTCTACTCTTGGCTCGTTGACATTTAAAATTAGTCATTTGGGCCGTGGTGACCAACCGTCTCCATAGATAAGGTCTTAATAGACGTCCATGTAAATTTTCAGCAAAAATGACATTGAATTTCGGATCGCAAAAAATTCCATGGACTCTACACAAAAATCAATAAAATGAGATTACATGCTCTCGGGTCGTTTGACCTTGAAAATGGGTCGTTTTCTCCGTGGTGACCACCTATATCCATAAGGTCTTAACAGATTTCAATTATTTTTTGGCGAAAATGACACCGAAATTCTGAATCACCAAAAATCTCATTGATGATAGCATATGTTAATCAACAAAATGAGGGATTTACCTGCTAAGGGGCTTGTTTTTCCTTAAAAATGAGCCATTTTTATCGTGGTGACGAACCGACTCTATAGTAAGGTCTTAATGGACGTCCATGCAATGTTTTAAAAAAAATGATCTCGAAATTACGAATCACCAAAAAGATGGTGGACTATAGAACACGAAAATTAACAAAATAGGGGAACAAAGTGCCGCTTCGGGAAACATGGGTATTGAAAATCTTAAAAACCCGTAGGTTCCCAAATTTAAAGCAATTCCAACCAAGATGACAGATCCTGCTGCAGGTTTACTTGCTTTAGGGCTCATTTGACCTTGGAAATTGTCTTTTGGCCGCGGTGACCAACTGAATCCATAGATAAGGTCTTAACGGACATCCATGTAAATTTTTGGCAAAAATAACGTCAGAATTTTGGATCACCAAAACTCTCATGAACTATAACACAAGAAAATCGATAAAATGAGGGGCTAACCTACTTTTAGACTCGTTGACCTTGAAAATGAGCTATTTTGGCCATTGTGATCAACTGACTTCATATATACGGTCTTAACAGACATCTCTTTACAATTTGGTAGAAATGATATTCGAATTCTGGATCACAAAAAAAAGATGGTAGACTATAGCAATGGAAAATTGGCAAAATGGGGGCTTACTTGCTTTGGGAATCGTTTGACCTCGAAAATGAGTTGTTTTGGCAGTGGTGACCAACCGAATATATAGATAAGGTCTTAAAAATGTCCATGCAAATTTTTGGCAAAAATGATCTTGGAAATCTGGATCATCAAAAAAGCTTGTCGACTATAACACATGAAAATTTACAAAATAGAGGGTTTACATGCTTTAGGGCTCGTTTGACCTTGAAAATGGAGCGTTTTGACCGTGGTGACCAACCGACTCCATAGATAAGGTCTTGACAGACGTCCATGTAAATTTTCATCAAAAAAGACGTTGGGATTTTGGATCACTAAAAATCTCATGGACTTATCGCACACGAAAATAAACAAATTAGGGGATTTAAATGCTTTGGGGTTCATTTGACCTTGAAAATGGACTGTGTTAGATGTGGAGACCAACCAGCTCCATAGATAATGTCTTGAAGAAATCCATGTAAGTTTTTGGCAAAAATAATCTCAAAATTTTGGATCACTAAAAAAGATAGTGGACTATAGTGCATAAAAATCGATAAAATGAGGTTCTTACTTGCTTTAGGGTCATTTGAGATTTAAAATGGCCCATTTTAGCCGTGGTGACCAATCTACTCTATAGATAAGGTCTTAACAAACGCCCATGCAATTTTTTGGCAAAAATGATCTCGGAATTCCGGATCATCAAAAATGATATGGACTATAGCACATGAAAATCATCAAATTAGGGGTTTTACCTGCTCTAAGGATCGTTTGACCTTGAAAATGATCCTTTTTTGGCTGTGGTGACCATCTGGATCCATAGATAAGGTCTTAACAGACATTCTTATAAATTTTTGGCAAAAAATTCCGTATAACAAAAAATCCTATGGACTATAGCACACAAAAATCGACATAATGGGGGGTTTACCTGCTCTAGGCTCGTTTGACCTTGAAAATGAGTCATTTTCTAGCTAGCATTAGAGAGGAACCTTCTTGGAGGCTAAGGTTTATATAATCTTTTGTGTTATGATATAACACTGATTTGGTTCTTGAAGTTGTACAAGTGGTTACCAAATGAATTATAACTACGTGCACATTGATTTGGTTTTTGAAGTTGGAACTTAATGCTTGTGGACTTTATTGAAATATATGTATCTTAAGATAAAAATCTTTATTTATTATTGAACACAACTATATATATAGCCATGGTACTAATCAAACTACAATCATATTATTATAACTTCATTTTATCGTTGATCCTTGCATTGTGCGAGAATACAACAAAACATATAATGAAGTTATTACATAGAATTAGCTGCCAAAAGACCTTTGGTTGCCGCAATCAAGATTGTCACCAGTACTAACCCCAAGAATTCCGCAATACCTCCTGTAAAACCCAATTCGATCTTGTACCCTGTTGTCATTACCACAACCACATTCTAGGCCACCATTGATGATGTTTGTGATGACACCAAATCCAGGAAGATGATTGGCTGATCGATCACCGGCAGATGGGTTCCATCTTCCAATGATGACATCGTGGCAAGAAGGCTTTGGTGATTGAGGGTTCATCCAGAACCAGATAGTTGTCTTGAATGAGATGACTGGGTCTGTGGCTACTAAATCAGGATTGTTTAAAAGGTCCACTCCGATGGCTCTTCCACATGGCCCATAGTTGTAGTTGTTGTTTTGAAATGTCAAAATACACTAATTAGACACTACAAGTTCATCAAATTTTACCATATATAGGACAAATAGATTTATGTAGCTTACTGTGAAATTTTGATTGGGCCTCGTCCG